AATAAATGCAAAATGTTGAACTTATCCTGTGCATGTTATCAGATCATAGCACTATGAAATTAGAAATTAATGATAAAAGATACTGTAAAAATCCACAAACACATGGAAACTGAATAACACATTCTTGCATAATCATTGGGTCGCAGGGGAAATTAAACAGATAATTAAACAATACATACAAGCAATCAAAGATACAAATACAACTTATTGGAATCTGTGGGATGCAATGAAAGCTGTCCTCAGAGGAAAATTTATTGCACTGAGTTCCCATATCAGGAAAACAGAATGAATACAAATAAACAACCTGATGTTACACCTCAAACATCTAGAAAAAGAAGAGGAAGTCAATCCCAAAGCCAAAAGAAGCAGGATATTAAAAATATCAGAGCAGAAAGTAATGCAATAGAAACTAAGAAAACAATCCAAAGAATCAATGTATCAAAGAGTTGGTTCTTTGAAAGAATAAATAAAATTGATAATCCCCTAGCCAACCTTATTGAAAAAATGGAAGAAAAAGTTCAAATTCATGCAATAAGGAATGAAAAAGGCAAAGCCACTACTGACTCTATAAAAATACAGAAGATCATCAACACCTATTTCAAAAACTCCTACTCTCAAAGGTTTGATAAAACAGAAAAAAAGACAGATTCCTAGAAACACGAAGTACAAAGCTAAGTCAAGAAGATGTAAAAACTGCTGAATAGCCTAATTTCTATTAATGAAATTGAAAACATAATTAAGTCCTTACCTACACAGAAGACCCCAGGCCCAGACAGATTCACTGCAGAATTCTACAAGAAATACAAAGAAGACTTAATGCCAACACTCTTCAAACTCTTCAAAGAAATTGAAAAGGAAGCAGTCTTTCCTAAGTCATTCCTGTAAGCAAATATTACTCTAGTACCAAAACCTGAGAAAGACCCAACTATAAAAGAGAACTATAGACCGATCTCCCTAATGAACACAGATGCAAAAATCCTCAATAAAATATTGGCAAATAGGATGCAGCAAATCATCAAGAAGATTATACACCATGACCAAGTGGGATTCATCCCAGGCGTGGAAGGATGGTTCAACATACGTAAAACAATAAATGTAATCCACCATATCAATAAAGCCAAAAGTAAGAATCACATGCTCATTTCTATAATTGCAGAAAAAGCCCTTAATAAGGTCCAAGATTCATTTATGATAAGAACTTTACAGAAAATTGGAATAGATGGTCTTTTCCTCACTATAATAAAGGCCATCTATGACAAACCCACAGCCAATATCATACTAAATGGCCAAAAATTGAAGGCCTTTACTTTAAAATCAGGCACAAGACAAGGATGTCCCTTATCACTACTCCTATTTAATATAGTACTGGAAATACTATCCAGAGCAATTAGACAAGAGAGAGAAATAAAAGGGGTAAAGATAGGAAAAGAAGAATTTAAATTATAATTATTTGCCGATGATATGGTACTCTACATAGAAGATCTCCAAAACTCCATTGAAAGACTCTTAGATATAATAAATAAATTCAGCAAAGTAGCTGGATACAAAATCAATCTTCAAAAATCAATAGCATTCCTATACACTAACAACAAAATCACCAACAGAGAAATAAGAGAAGACACACCCTTCTCACTAGCAACCAAAGAAATGAAATGTTGAGGAATTACTCTCACAAAAGAAGTGAAAGATCTATACAGGGAAAAATTATAATACACTGAAAAAAGAAATTGAAAAGGATCTCAAAAAATGTAAGGACATCGTTTGCTCATGGATAGGAAGAATAAATATTGTGAAAATGGCCATTCTCCCAAAACTGTTATACAGATTCAATGCAATCCCAATCAAAATACCATCAACATACCTCATAGATCTAGAGAAATTACTTCTAAAATTCATCTTGAGCGAGAAGAGACCTAGAATAGCAAAGATAGCTCTAAGCAGCAAAGGCAAGGCAGGAGGCATCACAATCCCTGACTTGAAGTTATACTACAAAGCAACAGAAGTAAAATCAACATGGTATTAGAATCAAAACAGAGCCGAAGATCAATGGTATAGATTAGAAGATACAACCACAACTACAAACACACTCAACCACCTTATCTTTGATAAAGGGGCCAAACATGTTCACTGGAAGAACGACAGTCTCTTTAAGAAATGGTGTTGGAAAAAATGGTTCTCCATATGCCAAAAATTAAAACTAGACCCATGCTTATCACCATGCACTAAATTAAAATCTAAATGGAACAAAGATCTGAATATTAAAACAGAAACAATAAATCTATTAGATAACAAACTGGGTAAAACCTTGAAGACCTAGGAGTATTTAGAGAATTCCTGAACAGGAATGTAACCCCATGGGAAATACCTCCCAGAATCAAAAACTGGGATAACCTCTTACTAAAAAGTTTATGCATGTCAAAAAAAATCTCCAGTATAGTGAAAAGAAAACCCACACTGGGAAAAAAAATCTTAGTGAACTGTCCCTCAGACAAAGGACTTGTGTCTAAAACATATAAAGCATTAAAAAAAATCTGACCCCCAAAATTCAAAGATCCAATCCAAAAATGGGCATCTGAGATGAATATACACTTCTTAGATGAAGAAGTACAAATTGCAAATAAACACATGAAAAAATGTTCATCCTCATTATTCATTAGAGAAATGTAAATTGAAACTATACTGAGATTCCATCTCACTCCTGAAGAATGGCCAGGATCAAGTAAACCACCAACAACAAATGCTGAAGAGGCTGCGGGTGGGGGGGGGGGGAAGGAACTCTCCTACACTGTTGGTGGGAGTGTAGACTGGTGCAACCATTGTGGAAGTCATTGTGGAGATTTCTCAAAAAGCTGGGATTGGAGTCCCATTTGTTCCAGCTATTCCACTTCTAGGCATATTCCCAGAAAAACTGAAAGTATCATGCCACATTGATATATGTGCACCCATGTTTATAGCAGCACAATTTGTAATAGCCACATCTTGGAAACAACCTAAATGTCCATCAACACAGGAATGGATAACAAAGTTGTGGTATTTTTGTATAATGGAGTACTACTCAGAAGGTTTATAACGTTTTCACTCATTAATTGGAATGGCTTTATTCTCAGCTGTTTGATTTTATTGTCTGTGATGGCATGAACAGCTACTCTGAAGTAAACAAGACATCATAATAGCTAGTGCTGATTTAATATCATCTTGTTTTGAAGTCTCACCAAACTGATGTTCTTCTGTCTCCATTGGTTTTATCATGTTGTATCTTATTGGGTTTTATTATATGATAGTATAAACCAAATTTTTTATAGACAAGGAGATAATATAGAAACCATTGTTTGTTTTCTGTTAGCTGTTTCTAAATACCTTGTAATACTTTCATCTTCTAGAATGGTTTCACACTGTCTTGATACGTTTGATGCTATAGTATACAAAGTTATATTCAAATATTTCAAGGAAAGAGACACTATGGTAACTACTATTAAGTCGGGTTATCTTGTGGTGAAACACTATGTTGCTTAAATTGTTCTGTTTTGACCTGTGTTGTTATGTTGTTATGTCCTCTCAATCTCCCCATTTAAAAATAAATTTTTAAATTTATTTTTTATTATTTTTTAATTAAGGGAAAATAAATTTTAAAAATTAGCAGGATATATTATAATAACTTTTTTGATTTGCTATAAACTTGATTTGAAGCCCTGTATTGCTCTCACCATAGTGTTTTCACTGATTTTATTGTGATTTGTTTGATAGCATCAAGTTGAGGGCTTGGGCAACTTCTTTGAAGGCAATAAGATTCAGGACTTCTTTTGAAGTCCTGTAATGCCTCCAATGTTTAGGTTTTATTGGTCTTGTTCTGTACTTTTTTGTTCAATTTTGTTATACCTGATGATATAGGCAATTCTTTTTATGGTTTCAAGAGTCATTATGGTAACCATTATTGATCACCTTGTGTTATGTTTTTACATCATGTACTATGTCCGACCTTTGTTTTGACTGACTCTGTTTTGTTTTGTCACATTTGGTTTTATTCTCTTCCAAAAAAAGTAATAAGAACTATGGGAGTAATAAAACCCAAAATGTGTTATTGTTATTGTAAAAAAGAGACAAAATAAAGTGCTCTAAAGGATACAACTGCAAGTGTGTTTAGGTGTGTAAGATCGATGACCATATTATTAAGTTTTTGTTGGATCATTGAACACAACTGTTTGCATTCTCACTGTTTGAATGTCCACTATGTATGTTTTAATTTTGTAACTTGAACAACTATTTCTAAGATGACAATATGTAATCTATTAGCTAATGATTTCTTACTGTTTATTTTTTCAAAATTCTGTATTACTTGTACCCTTTTACTGTTTTTTTTTCCTCTTTAAATAAAATTTTTAAAAAAGAGATAATCTTCCACCAGGTTTAGTGTCACATGTATTTACAACTAGGTGTGAGGTTCTGGGTTCAATTCCCAATAACACACAACTGTAGTGCTTTTTATTAAGACTGGTTAATCATAATTGTTTCATGGTTTTGAAGTATTCTTTTTGAATTATAACTTAGTTGATCCAAAAGCTCAAGTTTTTGTAGGTTTATGCTTCTGACTTCTCTTTTTTTTCCTGTTACTGTTGCCACCTTATTTCTGGTATGCTTCATCGTTTTTGAATGTGAGCAGTCCCTTATCCTTTTATTTTTTATTTTTTTGTCTTTTTTTTCATTTTTATCGGTACTGGGGATCGAACTCACAACTGCCTGCTTTCAAGGCAGGTGCTTATGCAGCTGAGCTAAATCCCCAGCCCCAGTCCCTTATCCTTAAAATTTTCTCTGAATAATTCTTTAAGACCAGAGAAAAGTATAGGTTTCTCCATAAATCTCCATAAATCAAAGGCATTTGATGTTTCCAGGTGCCTCCTCTACTTGTTATAGTACCTTAGTCCCCCCAAATATTTTTGGATGTGTATGTGTGCTCCCTTGATCTGGAAATTTATTTGTGTATCACCATTAGACCAAGAGAATACTCCTTTTGAAACCTCATTTTATCTAGGTCTTCTCATCAAACTTGTCAGTGTGGATAAACTCTTGGGTATTTTCTTTTTTCCTTTTCAAAGCTTACAAAGTAGATGTTCAAGAATAAAACACAAACGTGCATACGATAAAAGTTGCATAAATCTAAGTATATACACATGAATGTAGTAGGAGCTGGGGTTGTAACTCAGTGGTTTGGCACTGGTTTAGCACATACAAGACTCTGGGTTCAACCAATATTACAAAAATTAAGCAAACTGCTGGATGTGGGGGCATCCATCTGTAATCCCATCACTGTGGGAGGCTAAGGCAGGAGAACTGCAAATTCTCGACTGGGCAGGAGGTGGCCCAGTCTCGACGAATTAGAATCATAGCAAGTCCATGTCTCAAATTAAAAAATTAAAAAGGGCAGAATGGGAGGAGTTGAGTGCAAAGACAGTCTCCAGTAATATAAAACACACACACCAAACACATACACACAAAACAAAAAACAAGAGTACAGCAAAAATGGGACATCTGAGTAGGACTGTGGGTTGTTCGTGGTTATGGTGCTGAACTAGTTTACAAAATGATGGCATCAAGAGAAATTGAACAAAGGGCCCAAGGATCTCTGTGCTGCTCCTTATAACTGCATCACATGCAATTTAGCCAGTAAAAATTTCTCCAAAGAAAGGAATTTAAAAGAATGCATGTAAAGTATGCTCTTGTTTATATAAATTACAAATTTATCAATGTAGTGCAAGACAGGTGGAAGAAAGATGGTCATCCAAATGTTCAGAATTTAGCCAGATGGTAAACCTTGAGTCACTCCTCTTCTGACCGTCACTGTGAGTTGGTTGTTCCACCCTTCCTCTTTACAGGTTCTGTGGTCAGGCCCCAGGCACACTGTGATCACAGTCCCAGGGCACCCGGAGTGCTCAGGTGGGACAGATGAAGGAGAGGAGTAGGTCCACCTCATTGCTGACAATGAGCTTCACTGGGTGGATGTTGTCTGGTAGGGCCAAGCTGGAGGTCATTTCCCAGGCATCCACAAAGGCCACGCGGAGATCAGAAAAGGCAGCTCGAAGGAGCCGGTTCATCTGCAGGGTGAGCCAGTCACTGTCATACACAGTCTTGTAGCCAGTATTGGCCAGTTTGATGACCACAAGAGTACTGGGTGCCCGGGCCAGCAGGGCTATCACGGCTGCCCGAATCCCTGCCAGGCGTCGCACAAAGATGGAAGGGTGGAAGGGGGTGAAGTGGGCTCCCAAGCCCAGCACAACCACGGTGTGGGGACCACCGGCCAGACCTGTCAGCTCCCTGACCACTGAGTGCAGGGAGGCCACTGGTGTGCGGCTATTGCGCAGAGGCCAGCTGTGAAACCGCCAGTGCAGCACTATGCCCCGAGCCGTGTCCACGGCCATCAGGGGCCCCACATGATATGTGACATGTAAATCCACAGGCTTCAGGGCTGTTGGGAGGAAGGCAGATTTCGTAAGTTAACACAGGGCTGTGTACCATCCTCTTGTACAAACACAAGTTTCTGTTTCTGCTAGTTCCTTAGGACAGGACTGTTATCTTCCTAAAGCCTAATGCCTCTCCCCCATGGACGTCACTAATCCACCGGAAGTCCTGTACACTTTCCTTTCCTTTTCCTTTTTTTGTGTTGCTGAGATTTCAAACCCAGGGCCTCAACATATTAGGCAAATGCTCTGCCACTGAGCTCTACACACCCCCTTTTTGCATTTGAACCTGTGCAGCATTTGACTTTTGTATGCTGAGAGTTCTCTCCTGGAAACTGTTATCCTTTATATTACCCCAGGGTTTTCTATCTTCCCGGTTTAATAATTTGCTTCATGTTTTCCTTTACTCTGTAAATGAAAGCATTCTCTAAAATTGTGTCCCTGTCAGCTGCTTTTCTTTACAAGCTACCTGTATGGAACTTGTTCACTTCTAGGAATGTTTCCTGTCTAAGAGCTGTTAGCTTCCTGAGCTGTGATTCCACATTTCTAGTGCTCAGTTAACATTTTCTTATATTTCCCTGTTGCCTTGAAGGCAATATGGATAAAATGAAGCTATAATCTTTTACACAAATTTTGCTATTTCCTGAACTCCCGTCATTCCCCAGCACCAGTTATCTATCATTTGAGTGACTTCCCAAAGTTTCATCTTTTTCTTTTCAAGTTTTCATGGAGAAGAGCTCTGTCAAATCTGTTGTTTCTCTGTGTCTTAAAAGTCAAATCATTCAAGTCCCATTCATTCTTCATTATTAAGGGTCTCAGCATTTAATTCTTGCATCTAACTTTAGTTCAGTTTTCAATTACTCTCATATTTATGTAAAAATATTCCACAGCAACAGATTGAGATTCATCTATCTCATGGGCACTGTTTTGATACTTGCATATACAATGACTAAAGGGACACTGAAGTCTCTTCCCATGCACATACAGTCTCTTTGGAGAGACAGGTGTTCCCATTACAGCTAGAAACTTTGGGTATGAGAGATTGAAAGACTGTTAATGTTCTAGAACATAATAACTGACATGAGATGAGAAACAGGCAGAGTCAGATCAGGCAGTATTATGAAGATTCTGTTTGTGGTTTTAATGTTTGTCCCAAGGAAAAACAGAGTTCATTGAATGAAAGTAACGATTTCTGGAAGTCCTGGCCAGAGCAGTAGACAGGAAGTCCTAGATAGAGCAGTTAAGCAAGGAAAAGTATGGTGGTGTGTGCCTGTAATCTTGGCTCCTGAGAGGCTGAGGTGGGAGGATCTTAAGTTCAAGCCCAGCTTAGGTAACTTAATGATTTAGGAAGATTCTCTCTCAAAGCAAAAAGTTACAATAAGAGCAAAGGTTTTAGTTCAGTTGGAATGTCCTGGGTTCAATTCTCATTGCCTCAATTATTCAACCCATTCCTGGATGGTACCCAGATTGGAAGGGTAAGACATTAACAGCACAGACAAAATCCTGGGCCCAAAAGTAAATATCATAAAGGTACAAATATTTAAATTTACTCACAATGCAAATAAATTATAAATCAATCAGAAAATATTCCTGATATAAACATCATGTTCATAAATATCTCAATGCAAATCAAAGTAACTATAAATTTCATGTAATCAATTAAAATCCCAGGGAGAATTTTTTCCTCCTGAAATTTCAGTTTATTGAATAAAACATATGGAAGTATTAAAAGTCAACAAATCTGATAAGACCATTCTAAAGGATTCTTGTCCACTAGGAATCTATAATTATTTATATATAATCGTATGGGTGGTGTGGGTCCTGTACAAAGAAGTGGATTCACTAAACAGAATAGACAACTCCTAAACAAGCCAACAAATGAACCTCTGATTGATGATTTATTCACTGCAGAGCTATGCAGACAGGAAAGATTGCTCAATCAATGTTATCAAACAGTAAGTATCCAAAATTTAAATAAAAGACATTCTCTCATAGATAACAAGAGAAATTTGAAATAAAATCATTGAGCCACTACTATGTACCCATAATTTTTGCCCAAATTTATAAATGCTAATGTCAAATGTTGACAAGAATATGGACCAACAAGGGTGGCTGGCAAAAAACGTTCAGTGTGTGTGTGTTGTGTGTGTGTGTGTGTGTGTGTGTGTGTGTGTGTGTCTTTGTGTCTGGGCACTGAACTCGAGGTACATCTTTAACATTTTTTTAATGTTTTAACATTTCCATATATTTTATTCAATAAACTGAAATTTCAGGGAAAAAATTCCTGCTGGGATTTTAATTGAGTATATGAAATATGTAGCTACTTAGATTTTCACTGAGATATCTATGAACATGATATTCCTATCAAGAATGTTTTATTACTGATTTGTAATATATTTGCATTTTGACTAGCAAATATACATAATTTAAATCATTTGTAATTTTTTGTTTTTTAGACAGAGTCTGTCGATGAAATTCAGGCTAACCTTGAACTCACTACCTAGTGAGTACCCTAGGTGGGCCTCAAACTCATGGTGATTCTGCTGATAGCCTACCGAATGCTGGGATTACTGATGGCTGGCTCACATTTCATTTTGTACGTCAGAACTTCATGGATGATGGCTGTATCCTTTCATCAGCAGGCATGCAGTGTCTAAATATCTCTGCTTTTTTGTGATAGGAGCATACATTGATAACTATTTCAATTTTTTATATTTTATAAAATTTATATTAGTACTTTATATAAAAATTATATTAGTACATTATACATCAGTACAAAATGATTACATTCATTACTAGGAAGTTAGCAGAAGGACATAACACATTTTAATTATTTTTACTTTACCTTTTTCTCTCTTCCCTGCTCCTCCCTCCATCTCTTAGTCCCTTTCCATTTGCAAAAGATAGATAGATAATCCTTTTAGACCCATCAATTACAGAATTTTCAATGTCTAGTGTTATCATTACTTCTGTATTTAAGCTGGAATGTTTTTATAGAAAGAAATTTGCTATTCAGTCGTATACGAAAGAGAAGAAAGACTGTATGCTTTTACTTTCCTTATCAGTTCTTAAAATAATGACTCAGTTGCCTAAAATTTCCCAAAGTGCTATAATTATAATGGATTTAGACACATCTGTTGTGTTTAAATCAGTAGTTACTGCCTTCATTGATGTTCCCAGGGTTTCCCTTTTTTGTTTGTCCAGTGGAAGCTTCTTTTTATTTATTTATATATTTATTTAATTTTGGTGGTATCAGGGATCAAACTCATGACCTCACGCTTGCCAGGCAGGCATGTAGGCCACTGAGCTAAATTCCCAGCCCTGAAAGCTTCATTAAGTAAGCTTTTGAAGTCTTTTCATACTACCATACTCGTTGATAAAGGGAACTTTAATATCATCCAGCAGTTTTATTGTTATTTTTGGTAGTGTTATTGTTGCTTGGATAATGCTTTATAAATATGGTCAGATGCAGGAAATAGGTAAAAGTTCTTAGGTTTTTCAAGGTAGGAGAAATGAAATGCAAATACATGCTCAAATAAATAAACACAGATTCTAAAATGTAGGTCACATACCGAATCCCAGAACTCTGGGAAATTGAGGCAGAAGGACCAAAATTTGGAGCCTAGACTGGGCAATTTAGGAACTTAGTGACACCCTCTCTCAAATTAAAAAAATATATATATTTAAAAATAGCTTGGGATGGAGCTGCCGGCTAAGGCCCTGTGTTATATTTTGTGTCTGGATGTCCCCTGAAAGCCTCATGCAGGTGTGGGGGCAGATTTCTAGAATTTGTGCTTGATTCATGAGCCAATGCTGGGATTATGGGTGCGAGTGCTATACCCCTCCTCTGGTGAGTAGCCTACATACAATATAAGGGACAGGAAGGGTCTCCTGTCATGTGTTTCTCTCTTCTTTTATTCTTGTTGCTTTTTATGTTTTCTGCTGCATGAACTATTGATCTCTGCCATTAATCACCCTGTCTCAGAGCCAGCCAAACATGGACTGAAACCTCCACAAACTGTGAGCTAAATAAACTTTTCCTTCCTTAATTTTGAGGATTGCATATTTTGTTTCTATGACATACCCTGGGATCAATCCGCACGACAGCAAACAAGCAAAAAAACAAAGAGATCCAATGAAAGCTGTAATTTGTAGTTTTATCTATGTATCTATCACTTCCCTATATCTTTTGTCTGTGGAATAACCTAAAAATATGTTACCCTATAATAATAAGTACTTATTGTGCCCAGATACACATTTCCAATTCTCGGTAGAGAAGCGACAGATTCCAAGTCTGGGGGTAAAGAGGTACAGTGTGTGTCTGGGACACTTTGTGCCAGAAACCAAGGAAAGCTTTAAAGTTAAAGTTGCTTCCGTAAAGGAACAAGTGCCCATTTGGCAAACATTGTGAAAATTTGAACATTAGAGAAAATAATGATGGTACTGACTCAATTACCTTGAATTTATAAAAAATCCATGTGTCCACAATGACACTCAGAAAAGATAAAATATTTTGTTGCCATATGAAGCAACTCTGAAACCAGCTCTTTTCTTTTTAAATTGGTAATTAAAAGGGAATATAGTGCATGTCTGTAATCCCAGCACACAGGAGGATCACAGAGGATTCCAACCGAGCTTAGGCTACATGTGAGTTTAAGGCCACCCTGAACTACATAGTGAGACCTTGTCTCAAAAAAAAAAAAAAAAAAAGGCGAGGGAAAGCGAGAAACTATATACATTGCATTTCCAGAAAGAATTATGTGTTTTTGAATAACCTGTTACCAAGTTAATGAATGAATTATTTTACAAAATAAGTCTACTAAATAAACATAGAGAAAACAAAAGGGTCATAAAATCAGTATTTTGCAACAGTTTCTAAATGGTTCAAGCAATAATAATCACTGGGTTAAAATCATTATGAGCATAGTTAATGGGAATTTATTATACTTCACACTGTGCCAAAATAATACTGCATAGCTTCCTCTCTGTTCCTAAGGGGAAAACGTGATGGTGCTATGGCAGAGCCAAGAATTTATGTGTTCACCTGGGCAGTCTCACTGTCACTGATGACAGGCAATCAGATATTACCCTTTCCCAGTGTGCTGCAGGGTTTACTCACAATTGTCAAAATTTGAAAGCAACTACAATGTTCTTTAGTAGGTGAGCAGGTAAAGAAACAACGGTATATCCAGACAGTGGGACATTATTAGGGCTATAAAGAAACCAGCCATCAAACCACTGAATAACTTACATGCACATTACTAAATCAACAGTTACCCTGGAGAAGCCTTACATAAATGATTCCAATGATATGAGCTTTCAAAAAGGCCAAACTATGGAAACAGTAAAAAGATCAGTGTGTGGCAAGAAGGGAAGGAGGGGGAAGAAAGGGTAAAAGGAAGAGAAAATGTTCTCAGGGCAGGGAAAATACTCCACTTGATTCCATGATGGTAAAAACATGTTACCAGACAGTCATCCAAACCCAGAGAAGGTACACCACAAGAGTGAAGCCTGATGTAAACCTTGGACTTTAGACAATTGTGATGGGTCACAGTGACAGATTCATCCTTCAGTCACAAGGTAGATTCCTCCAGTATAACGAATGCACTGCTCTGGGGGAAGATGTTCTTAATGTGGGAAGATATGTATGCGTGCAGAGGAGGGAAGTATATGGGAAATCCCTGTATTGTTCTCAGTTTTGCCGGGAACCTATTGTTCTTAAAAAAAAATTAAACATTTAGGAAAATTATACAGGCTTTTGAAGGAGAATTGAGAAAAGTTGATGAAGTCAATAGCTCCTTCAATTGAAGGGACTATTATTCATCTTGTTAGGTGTAATCCTCTTATTTTGGTTCCATATGAAATATTTATTTAAAAAAGTACTTTTGCATAAATACTCAATATGAAATGTCATGATATTGGTAATTTAGTCTAAAACACTTTTTTGTGGTACTGAGGATTGAACCCAAGGCTTGCTCACTGAGCTACACCCACAGCCATTTTGTGTCTTTCAGGTTGAGACAAGATCTTGGTAAGCCAATAACTTTCCCAGGCTGACCTCCAATGTGAGATTTTTGTGCCTCAGCCTCCCAGATTACTGGTATTACAGGTGTATACAATCACACCCAACTCCAGACAGGTTATTTTTTCCCATGGAAATTTTCATTCTCTGTGTGAATATTTCTTTTGCTAGTTGTTTTTCTAAGTCTTTCTACTAGTTTATGCACGGTGAGGTAGGTGTTACGGTTCACATCGAGGATGATCTTCAAAGGCCTTGTGTGTTGAGAAGTGGGGCTGTTGGAAGTGACTGGATCATGAGTGCACTTACCTGTCTGGATTAATCCAGGTATGAGTTCAGAGCTGACGTGTGTTAGATGGTGGGTCTGGTTAGAAGAGCTGGGTCACGAGAGGCCTGACCTGGCTCCTGTCTTTGATCTGTGTTTTCTTCTCCCATGGTGTGAGCAGCCCTCTTCCCTGGCAGACCCTTCCCCACACCGTCCCTGGGTTTAAGCCTGCTTACGATGGACTGAAACTTTTGACACTGAGCCAGAATAAAACTCTCTGTAAGGTTGGGTGTCCAGGATTGTGTCTCAGTAGTGAGCAAAGTGACCAAGGTAATAGGAACATTGCATTAAATTTTGTTGTTGTTTACTGCTATATTCCTGCCACCTAGGAGGGTGCTAGGGCAAATGTTCAGTATGCATGGAAAAATCACACACTACACTAAGAAGTAGGGCAATTACAACTTGAACCAGAAAAGAAAATCAACAGGGAACAACACCAACATTACCCAGAAGCTGAAATGCTCTGGCAAGGGTTTGAAAGCAGCCAGCATAAAAATGATGCAGAATAGTAAGAAGACAAATGTACCGATGGTGGGACTACGAAGCGGTGCTAGTGTGAAGAACTGTTGGCAGTATTATTTTTAAAAATGAAACATGAAATGATACAAAAATACAGAGAATGTTTCATTTTAAAAAATATTAGAAGCCAGGCAGCGTGGTGTATGCTTACAATCCCAGCACTTGGGAAGCTAAGGCAGGAGGACTACTGTCAGTGTCAGGTCAGCCTGGGCTACATAGTGAGCTCGAGGCCAGCCTAAACTGAATGGAAAGACCCTGTCTCACCAAAAAACAAAATAAAACAAATTTTCCCAAAACAGTAAAAGACACATTGCTAGTAATCACCCTCAAGATAATCCCCCTCACTCTAAATGCACTTATCCCAAGTATTTGCCTCTTTTTAAAAGGCCTTGACTGTCATGGCTGGCTTCACATTCTGAATCTGTTGTGAATGTCTACCTTTCAAGGTCATTTTGACTTTAAGGATGAGCCAGAAGTTGCACCATGCCAGACCTGGCAAACAAGGGAGGACACATCATCGTTTTCACAATGTTGCCTCTCTGGCAGATAGGACTAGGCAGAAGAATTCCGTACTCACACACACATGCACCCACACATGCGTGTGCATGTGTGTGTGTGTATTTTAAAATCAAATCTGAACTTCCTATCTGAAATTAGAGACAAAAATCAGTTGATCATCGTTAACATTATTCTTGTTGACAGCTTAAGAATGGAGTTTATAAAGCTTATTGCACCAGTCTATCTGGCAATTTGGGTAGCTTTTCTCACTTCTTTCTTGTGAATCAAACCTTTTTTGTTTGCTGGGGATTGCAATCAGGTCCTCACGCATGCTAAGCAAACCTGCTACCAGTGAGCTTCGCACCACCACCAGCAACCCAACATTTATGGCATCTTTGTACTAAGTCTTAGATGGTTGGAGCATACTTTTACTTAATATAATTGCTTTAAAAGCTTAGTGTTTATTTTCATTTTCCACATTAGGTGCATGAAGAGTTTACTCACAAATATGTGATAGATTTATTTTCCATTAACATTTACTACTTAGATAAACATAAGATTTGGGGTTCTGTTAAGTTTGCAATGGCTCAGAAAACCATATACATTCCTCGGAACTCACTAAGTTTTTAGGTGCTAAGGAAACTACCATGTCTTACAAGTCACTAGTCAAGACTGAGGTGCACAGCCAAGTGTGGTGGTACAAGCCTGTGGTCTAAGCATTTCAGGAGGCTGAGGCAGGAGGATCATAAGTCTCATCCCAGGCTGCGAAATTAAGAAATTTAGCAGGAATTTGTCTCAAAATAAAAAAATAAAAAAGCACTCGTAATGTAGCTCAGCATGCAGGCAAAGAGGGAAAAAAGGGAGGAGGATATAGAGGAGGAGGAGGAACAGGAAAAAGAAAAACACGGAGACAGGGAGATCAAAGTTTGAACTCAATACTTAATACCCTGCACATTTTACTTTTAAAAAGAACCTGTGTGTGTTTATTGAGATCCTCAGTGAAGGATTTTTTGGTGTCATCACGCATTGTGTTACTTAACAGCTTTAATTGGCCACCTGAGCTTCACTAAACCAAGAAGGTAGCTCCATGGCAGTAGCTGCATCCTCCCAGCCTGGATTTCTTCACTCCTTTGCCTTTTGAAGGGTGACATCCTGCCCCACTCCCCACCAAGCAGGACTGTATCCTTCCAAGCCCCTCCTGCTCACTTCTTTCTTCCTGGGTCTCCACTGCCTTACCCATCCCTCGTGGTCACTTACAGGGCACCGTGTCACGCAGATACTCCCACCACTGCCGAAGCGTGGAGTCCCCCATCATGTGGACGATGCGGCCAGCCAGGCAGCCCACGATGCTATCCGCGGTGGGGAAGGAGCGGCTGGAGCAGGCCAGGGAGTGCCACACGTTTCCATGGTAGAAGCCAGAGGGCTTCGGGGACAGGAGGCCAGGGCAGCACGGGAGCTGTGGGGACAGGGCTATTGGACGGAGAAAACACAACAGCCTATTGAACAAAGGGAGCCAACATTAGCCTCTTACAACATGTCAGATGGTCTTCTCTTCCACGTGCTTTGCACACTGTATTTCATTTGGTCTTTTATGAAACCTATGGAGAAGTGTTGTGACCTCCACTTACAAGTGAGGATGCTGGGACACCAAACGCTAAGTAATTTGCCCATGATTAAGAATAGTGAGGGGGGGACTTCCTGAGAACATGGCGGACAGAGACAGCAGCAGCTACTGAAGGCTCTCTAAAGACTCGGCTCAGAGGCCAGGAATGATGCGGACTAAGGAGATACGAACCAGTAGAGATATGCTCTGCTGACTCAGGAACGAACTGGGCTGAGAGAATCTAACTTAGAATACAGTCCTGGCGCTAAAATAGGAACAGAAAAATCTCGGTGTGGAGGCTCGACCCCGCGCCATTGGAAACCGTGGTTTGGATTTCCCGCCGCCCGGCGGCTGGCTGCCTCCACAGCGGCTCGGCAAGGAGAGACGCACCGAGCTCTGGAAACGGGAGTCTGCGAACGGAGTCGGAAACAGGACGGACAAGGAGGAAAACTGACTGGTGGCGAGGTGAGCAAGAAACTGATCCCCTACCACAGTTTGACTCCAGCGGAGGTTTTTCTGGGCTCGGGCAGTCCTGTAAGAGCAGGGCGCGGTGACAACTCCAGCCGCACATTCCCCTCTCGGACGGGATTGGTGAAAGGTGCCTGGCCTGAGTGACGCTGCTGGCGGACTCCCTAGGCTGGCCTAACCCAGATCCCAGAGCCTGACGGTGGCCTGGAGGAGCGACCGACTCCCGCGTAGGCTGCCTCCTCCGCAACTCCCTGGGGCACAGCGGTGGGCGGGAACAACTAGCCAGCGCAATTTGATCAGGCTGTGGCTGACAGGCAGGGAAGCCGGGCCTCCTATGTAAGATTGCATTTTATAAGGAACAGAAAATATGGGGAAGGGAAGCAACAAAAAAGGCTCCTCGGCCCCCAATCCTGAGAAACAGGCAATAGTAGACACCGCACCAATATACATTAAGCGCCATCTAGAGAGCCTCATAGACCAATTCAGGAATGAAGTTATCAATGACCTGAAGCTAGAAGTATGCAGAATAGTTAGAGAAATGCTAAGCACCACCCAGGAAAAAGCAGATGGTGGAATGGAAGAACAGAAAAAGAGGGGAGAATAGTTTGATGGAGAAAACAGAGAAAGCATTGAGTATGTGAAGCAGGTTCAAAGAGACTATCAAGAAATTAAGAAGTCTATCCAAGACTGGCATAACAGCTTGAAAGAAACTAAGGACAGACTATCTGAATTGGAGGGCAGACTTGAAACATGGGAGAATGAAATGAAAAACTTCTTAAAAATAACAAAGAAACACACAGCAATAATACAAAGACAAGAAGATGATAAGAGGAGCCATAACTTAAGGATTAAGAACATAAAAGAAGAAGTAGGGACACAAACAAGTGAACTACAAAAGCTACTCACAGAAATAATCCAGGAGAATTTTCCTAATTTAGCAAAAGGTAAAGATACTCAGATGTATGAGGCATACAGGACCCCAGCTACCTATAACCCTAACAGAGAAACACCCAGGCATATAATAATAAAAATTCCAGAAATTCAATACAAGAACAGAATATTAAAAGCTGTAAGAGACAAGAAACAGATCACTTACAAGGGAATACCCATCAGAATTACAGCAGATTTCTCTTCACAAATCAGATTTCTCATCAAATCACGAAGAGCATGGGGAGAAATAATTCGAGCTTTGAAAGATAATAATCTCCAGCCAAGATTGAGATATCCTGCACAACTGTCCCTGGAAATTGATGGAAAAACGAGGTGCTTCCAGGATAAAGAGGAACTGGGGGAATTTGCAACCACCAATTCAACCCTACAGAAAGTATTGCAGGATATTCTAAAAAAAGAAAAATACAAAGAACCCAGAAATAGTGGCGGGGAGGCCACAACGAATGGAGCAGAGAACAAAATGAAGAAGACAAACTGACAGCTACTGACAGAAAAAGAGCTCAACAGAAATGAGACAGAGAAGATTGGATGATAGGAACAGCTTTTTTTGGAGAAAATGACATCTTAATAGGTAATGCTGATTTAGTACCATCTTGTTTTGAAGTCTCATCTAGCTTTTGTTCTTCTGTCTCCAATGGTCTAAACAGGTTGTATCTTATTGGATTTTGTTATGTATGATAGTATAAGCAAAAACCTTTTAAGGACAAGGAGATTATACAGAGACCATTGTTCATTTTCTGTTAGGCGATTCTAAATACTCTATAATGCTGTCATTCTCTTAAATGGTTTTACATTGTTTTGATATACTTAATGCTACAGTATATGAAGTTGTACTCAAGGACTTCAGGGAGGGAGTCAATATGGTAACTATTTTTGGGTCAGGATTATCTGGTGGTGAAACACTATTCTGCTTAAATGGTTATGTTTTGATCTGCCCTGTTTCGCTGTTATGCCCTCTTTTTTCTCAATCTCCACTCCATTATTTACTTTTTTATTTTTATCCATTTAATTAAAGGGAAAAATATAGCAGGATATAATATAGTAACCCACTTTGACTTTCTATTATCTCGATTTGAAGCCCTGTATTACTCTCACCATCTTGTTTTTGACTGAGGTTCCTCTATTCTGTTTTGCTGGATAGTATCAGGTTCGAAAGTTTAGGCATCAGCTGAGAAGATAATGAGATTCATTATAACGCCCATTCTCGTTGACTTTTATCTACTCTTGAAGACCTACAATATCTCCAATGTTTTGGTTTTGTCGGTTTTATTCTTTACGGTTTTGTTCAATTGTATAACAACTAATGATATAGGCAATTCTATTAGAAATAGCGGGAGGCATTATGGTAACCATTGTTGATCACCTTGTATTATGTTTTTATATTATCTATTATGTCCACCCTTTTGACTTGACCGACTCTGTTCTGTTATGTCACATTTGGTTTTACTCTCTTCCAAAAAAGCAATAAGAACCGTGGGAACAATGAAACCCAAAATGTGTAATAGTCATTGTACAAAAGAGAGGAAAAGAAAGTGCTCTAAACTATATAACTGCATGTATATTTAAATGTATAAGATAGAAAATGATATCACAGAGTTTTATTGGATCATTGAACAGAACTGTTTGCAGTATCATTGTTGGAATGTCCACTCTACAAGCTTTAATTTTGTGAGTTGAACAATTATTTCTAAGATGGCAATATGTAATCCATTAACTAGTGATTGCCTACTGCGCATTTTTTTCTCCTGTAAATCTGTATAACTTGTACCCCTTCACTGTTTTTTTTTCTTTCTTTTCTTTTCTCCTTAAATAAAAAAAAAAGAATAGTGAGGGGAAGAGAGTTGTACTACTAATTTCTCTTAATTCTTGAGAAGGAAAGGTTTGTGCTAATATTGTTTGGACAATTAAATACCTGTATCTTGTAATACATGTAATATATTAACCATTGTTACACTTCTATTAACTTGTTTGGAAATTTTGGGGGTTTTTCTCTTTAAAATAAAATTTTGAAAAAAATAATGAGGGGATTAAAAGATGAAGACAGGAGGAGAGAAGAGGGGGAGGGAAGGGGAGAGAAAGAGAAGGGGCCAGAAAAATAGTTAAAATATGTTATGTGTGTGGGCTGAGTCCACACAAGAGATGTAGTCCTTATATATTGCATGCAGGTGCCTACAAAGATTTCAAATTTAAAAAATGATGGGAAGATTCTCAAACAACTACTGGTGGGTGCTGAGGACGTAGCTCAGTGGTACAGTGCTTGCCTAGCATGTACAAGACCCTGAGTTCAATCCCTAGTACCACACACACATACAAAAATAGAAATAGAATACTATATGATGCAGCAATCCCAATTTTGGGGTTATACTCAAATGAATTGAAACCAGAATCTTAAAGAGATATTATCTACACTCCCATATTCTTGAAGCATTATTCAAAACAGCCAAGACAAGAAACAACGGAGTGTCCTTCAATGAAAGAATGGAGAAAGAAAATGTCACATGCACACAAAATGGAGTATTATCCACTTTTGTTTTAGTACCGGGAACTGAACTCACAGCCTCACCACGCAGGTGCTTATGCCGCTGAGCTCAATCCCTGGCCCTTGTTTTTCACTCTTAGGAAAGGAAACCTTGCCATTTGTGGAGCATGGTAACATTACATTAAGTAAAAGAAGCCAGACAAAGACAGATACTGCATGATGCCCTTATAAGTAACATCTAAATACTCAACTCAGAAGCAGAATAGAACAGTGGTTTCCAGGCATTTGAGATGAGGGGGAAACACCCAAAACTTATGAACTTTGGATTATAAAAGAAATAAGTTCTGGAGATCTAAGGCACACCCTGGAGACTACAGTTGTATACTTGAAATTTTCTAAGAGCTGATAGGTTAAGAGTCTCTATCAATCAAACACACACACACCCGAGGACACAAAAATGAGGCAAGTGTGTGAGGTGATGAATGTGCTCACTAATTTAATTGTACTAATTGTTTCATAACATATACACATACCATAGCACATTGTATACCTTAAATGTATACAATTTTATTCGTCAATTATTCATTAAAAGTAGCTAGAAAAGTAACAGCTTTAAACGCTCCCCTTCAACAATATGAATGAGCCTCGAGGACATTATGCTACAGGAAATAAGCTAAAGGACAAGTACCACAGGAGGAATGTAAAATAGACTCCCAGGACCAGAGAGTGGAATAATGATTGCTAAGCGGTGAGATGAAGGGGAAATAGGGAGATGTTGGTGAAGGAACACAAACTTTCAGTTGTACAAGATATACAGGGAACCCGGCAGACAACTACACAGCACAAAACACTGAATTACATATTTAAAATTTTGCTAAGAGGACAAATCTTGTGTTAAGTATTTTAATCCTATGTAAACAATAACAAATAAATAGGGCAAGAGGAAACTTTCAGAGATAACAGGTATTTTGTTTTAAAAAGCAAACCAGAAAAAATGGGTAGAAATGATACCGAATTTTAGAAAAACAGTAGGAAATTAATACTTTTTACTATATTGCATATTGTTCTCTTAGAAGTAGTTGTTCAGGTTACAAGATCCAGGCACAAAAATACTCAAACCATGACAGCACAAACTCTTGTTTTTGATAAACTGAGAGATGAGTTGTATAGTTATCGATCTTGCATAAATATACATATACATTTATATATGTTTACCAACATATATATAATATTTTCCTTTCTTCCTTTTTTCCTTCCTTCTTAACAGACATTTAAAAATATTTAGCAAATATTTAATGTAAAATGTCTTATAACCACAGTAGTGTAAGGAAGCATATACTTTCCCTCAAGTATAAAACACTTCTACACATACGTGGTATGAAATATCAACCAGTTACCTGTGCAATATGTAGCATTCTTGCAGATAACAGAAAGTTTCCTGCCCACAAATATTTTAATATCTAGTTTAGACAACTGATGTAACAAAATTTAAAATGATCTGCACCGTAGTAAATCTTCAAAAAAGAACTGAACTCATTATTCACCATTAGAAACTTAAACTGTAGTTACTCTTGGTCCGTTTATCAGCCATGTCAACCTGCAGTTTAAAATTACCGGCAAGTTAATCATGGATAACCTTATAGAGTTAATGATGGTGATTTCACAGATGTACACTTAACATCACACTCATCAAGTTGTATATATTAAATATGTGCAATTTCTGTGTCAATCATGACTCAAGAAAGTGATTTTAAAAAAGGATTGTGATGGGCAGGGATAGCCTTTGAATTGTGGAAGTCTGTTATTATGGTCCATGCCACTGGCCTCTACAGTATCCACCCTCTCAGTCAAGGAACTGAAGCCACCTAGGTCTACTACCACCCCACCCTAGCACATGCCAGCCCTACTCACCCAGAGTGGTATTGCTTGTGGCTGCAGGTCTGACCAGGATAGGAGAAATGCCCTGAGAGAGCAGTTGGTCTGTCACATTCCTAGAGAAACAGGACAGCTGCATTGAGGGCTGTGACCAGGTGAAGTTAAGCTGTGGGTGTGTGATGATTGACTGTTGACCTTTATTCTGCCTCACTTCAAAAATGAACAAGGTCATTGCAATCTAATTATCACATCGATAACTTGACACAACTACAACAGAGAAAAGAATGATTGGAGGAACATAAGAATCTTATTTTGTGGCTTAATAAAAATATAAGTTTACCTTTGGGATGTCCCTCCCAAGACATACAGCCCTGGTATAAGAACAAAAACAGACAAATTCCAATGAAAGTGAATCCAACTATATAATTAACCAGCACTTCTCAAAACTGTCAAGATCATCAAAGATAAAGAAATTCAGAGAAGCTTCCAGATGTGGCACACACTGTAATCCCAGCACCCAGAAGTCTGAGGCAAGAGAATCTGCATGTGTGATGCCAGCTTGGGCTAAACAGTGAGTTCAAGGCCAGTCTGAACCACATGGCAAGACATTGCCCCAAAATACCAGAACACTTAAAGAAAAAAAAGTCAGAAAACCTGTGACAGCCCAGAGAAGCTTAAGGAATCAGGATAACTAAATTTATGGTGACTCAAATGGAATCCTGGAAAAGAAATAAATGACATTAGGTAAACATTGAGGAAATGTGAATAAACAGTGGACTGGGGTTATCATTAATGTGTTAATACTGGCTCATGAATTATAGCAGATAAACCACAATCATGCAAGATGTGAAAAATAGGAGGAACAGTAGAGGAAAGAGAAAATGGGAACTTTCTGTGGCATCAGCTCAACTTCTCTGTAAATCTAAAACTTTTTAAAAAATCTATTAATAAAAAAATGCAGGGCTGGGGATTTAGCTCAGCAGCATAAGTGCCTGCCTGTGAAGTGTGAGGTCATGAGTTTGATCCCCGGTACCACAAAACAAACAAACAAACAAATCAGTGCATAGATATTTCCCTACTATGAAAATGTTTGTCTACAAAAGTCTTATACATCAAGATTAGCAGAAGCTTTATTCATAATGGCCCAAACCTGGAAAAAAACTCAAATGTTCATCAAGAAGCAAATGGATAAACAACCTGTGGTATATCTATACAGCAGAACGTTCTTCCGGAATGAAAGGAAAGAACCGCTGACACCTAGCAGCAGCAGGCTGCATCTCCAGAACATTTCACTGAGCAGAGGGAGCCAGAGGAGTGTATACTTATGACTTCATTGACAATCCTGGAAATAAATCTAGAATTCTAGTCATGATTCTAGAAAAGACAAACTGATATTTACTGTCAGACGGCAAATCAGCGTTTGCCTGTGCCTGGAGCCTGGTAGAGGAAATTGATTGTGAAGGGCACAAGAGAACTCTTGGGAGTTGGAACTATCCTATGTCCTCACTGTCGCAGCAGTTACTCTAGTGTACGTGCTCATTAAAATGTACTGACATGCACACTTGAAACATGCACACTTGAGAACCTGTAAATCACACTTTCATAAAGTTGATTTTGAATGCTCAAATCAAGAAATTTAAAAACACAGTAAAACTACTGTCTGCTGAGAAGTGTTAAAATTAGACAAATAGCTACTGAGCATCTTTTAGTAAGTGTTCGTTGCACAAATGAATGAAGTGCTGTCTCTAGAATTAATGGATTCCAGTTCTGGCGGTGCTGGGATTGCCATTGGACAGTTCTCGCATCTGATTCCAGTTAGATGTCTTTCTCATTCTCCAAGGCTGATGTTGGGAGCTTGCTATTTTCTTTTTGTCTCTTTCCTGGACAGTATCTCCAACTTCACAGAGAGGCTTTCTTACCCTTTTTCTTCCAACCAAAAAATGTAAATAATAAGAGATTAACAATGTTTAAAATATTGCATATTGCTACCTTAAAAGTAGTTGTTTAAGTTAAAAGATATAGGCATGAAAAAAATGATCAATCAAACAATGAAACAAACAATGAAACCACAAACTGTTCTTTTCAATAAGCTAAGAGAGATTGGTAATGTCATTATTTATTTGATTTTATTCTTCCAAATTCTTTTTTTTTTCAGAATATAGACATGGTCATACATTCTTCTTTAAACAAAGCTACTCCACTCTTCCTGAAGCTGCAACTCTGTCTCCTTTCTTTTGTAGGACAACTTCTTGATAAACTGGTCTACTTTCATTACCTGTCTTCTACATGTTTTAAAAAATTACTGTGTACTTGACATCCAGTTCTAGTAGATCTTAACATATTTCTATATATAAATCAGATCTGTCTTTAATAAAGAATAGTCCAGCAGTGTTGGAGACAATGCAGAGAAACTGGATCTCTTGGAATGTAAAATGACAAGGTCATTCTGTTAAATAGTTTGGCAGTTTCTTATAAAACCAAACATTTGCTGAACACGACAGCACATGCCTATTATCCCAGCACTTGGGAGGCTGAGGCAGGAGGCTCATCATGAGTTTGAGTACAGCCTGGGCTACATAGTGAGTTCAAGGCCATCATGAACTACATAAGAACCTGTCTCAGAAAACAAAAAGAGAGACAAAACAAAACCTTGAAAATATGTGCAATAACAAAAACAAAACCTAAAACTAAAGCTAAAACTCGACATTCATCAATTGCATAATTGAAAGATTGCACTCAGGCATTTATTTCAGAGAAATGAAAATTTATTCTCATACAAAAGCCTCAATATACATATCAACAGAAGCTTTATTAATGAGTCAAAAGTTGGAAACACTCCCGAATGTCCTTTAAAGTATGAATGGTTAAACACATATAGTGACATCTCAGAGAGCTAGGGAAAGGAATAAATTATTGATGCATCCAATAACTCAGGCAGGTTTCTAGGGTATCATGCCTAGTGGAAAAAACCAGTCACAGCTGACTGCACACTGTCTGACTCCATTTGTATAACATTATAAAAATAGCAAAAGTATAGAAATGGAAACCAGAAGAGGGTCACCAGGTAAAGGAACATGAGCTGGAAGTTGGCAGTGCCAAAAAGGGACAGCAGAAGGGATTTCCTGTCTGGTGATGGAAGCTTCCTGTATCTTGATTGTGCTGGTACTCACATAAATCTACTGTGAAGGAACACACACACACACACACACACACACACTGACCTGAGTACACATGTAAGCTGATCAAAACTAAACAAATTTTGTAGTCTAGTTAACAGAATTATACCAATGTTAATTTTCTTGCTATGGTATTGCCCTTCATATATATGAGGTATTACTGTTGAAGGAAGCTGGGGAGAGGAGGTTACATCATTTTATGTACTATTTTGCAACCTCTTGTGAGTCGATAATTATTTCACAGTAAAAAGTTAAATTTTAAAAAGCAATAAGTAGATCATTACAGGTATCATAAAGGCACTCACTAACCACTTTATTACCATTCCATTCATTGCAAAGATAAGGTCACCCCTGCAAATTCAGTGTTCATGATCTCATCCACATTTTATACATTTACTATATAATATATCTAAAATATGAAATAGAATTGCTTGGAAATTTTTAAACTTTATCATAATGGTATATTATATTATGTGTATACCATTACTCATATTTTCAAGGTATAGTTTTGTTACAGGATATAGCTTTTCTTCATGCATTTGAACTTTATGATTCTATTATCTACTTCCTACTGGTTGTGAGATAGTTTCCAGCATTTTCCTCACACATCCTCTACAATAAACATTCTTGTGTATATTCCATGGGTCTCATGTAAGAAATTTCCTCTACAGCTTACAACTAGAAGGCAGATTTCTGAGTGGCAATTTATATGCATCTTCAACTTTACTAGGTATTGTCAAATTGTTTCCAAAGTTGTTAAAACAATTTACACCCTTATAATAGATACACGAGATTTTCTCTCTACCCATCCTCATCACCCTTTGTTTTTTCAGACTTAAAGTTTTTGTCAATATAAAAATTATTAAAGCTGTGCTTGTTAATGAATGCCTACAATCCCAGCATTTGGGAGGCTGAGGCAGGAGGCAGGAGTTCAAGGCCTGCCTACACTACATAGTGAGTTGACGGCCAGCCTGAACTATGTAACAAGACCCTGTCTCCAGAAAAGTTTTGAAAGATGATATTTTGATTTTGATTTAAATTCCCTGGTTGTACATGAGGCTGAATATGTACTTATATGTTTATTCATCATTCATATTTTTTCTGTGATTTTTATTTATATATTTGGCCCATTTTTTTAAAGTAACATCTTGCTAAATTGCTAAGTTGCCCAGGCTGGGCTCAAACTTGCAATCTTCCTTCTTCAGCCTGCCAGAGTCCTGGGAGTACAGGTGTGCATCAGCGTGCCAGCTCATGACCTTTATCGTATTTTCTTACTGTTTTGTAGGGTTTCTTTATTTACTCAGGATACTCATCTTAGATCAATTATCTGTATTGTTAATATCATCTCAAAATCTATAAGAGCCTGATTTAAATTATGTTTATGGACTTCTTGTAACAAAGACATTTTTTTGTTTATTTATAGCCCAACTTACCAGTATTTTACTCTATGACAATAAAACAATACTTTATCAATCCCAATTCATAAAGATATTTTCTTCTTTTATCTTCTTTGAGTTTTAGGATATGGTTTTTACAGTTAGATTTCTAAACTTCCTGACATTGATCTTTCTGTATAGTGTAAAGTTCCAATATAGTTATCTCTTTTCCAATTCTTGGCTATTTAATACATTCACTGTTGATTTGAATGCCTATTCTATTTATGTCAAATTAGTTACATTTATGGATCTAGTCCCTTCCATGATCTACTTAACTATCCCTAAGAATATGCTACAAAGTCAGGTTAAGAAGATTTCGTACAGCAGTTTCATACAGAAAGTTTGAAATACAAAGACATGGGAAAAGATATACCAACATCAAGCAATTTGAGGCCCTTATAACAAGATTAATATCATAAAAATTAGAATTGAAGGCAAAAAAGTAGAGTGAATAATAACCAATAACAGAAAACAAATGGAAAGGTAAATGTACATATCAATGTATAAAGGGAAATATACAAAGGGAAAAATACTGGATTGAGAAATTTTCAAACCTACAAATCTATAAACAATATAGCATATGTATGTCTGAAGCTTATAGATTCAGCAGATATAAAAAGTAAAATATAGATGCTTGGAATTTTAAAAATTGACAAGCTGTATCAAATAGGTTCAGAGCTTCTTTCAGAAGACATATAGACTATAAAATATTTTCAAAGAATGTGGACTACAAACAAAAAACATCAATTGTTGGGTCAAAAATGAATTTTAGTTCTAATTGTAAGATAAAATATTGCTAAATTGCTAAATTCTCCAGGCTTGGTTTGAACTTTTTTTTTGGTCTTTTTCCTTTTTATCTGTACCGGGAATTGAACTCAGGACTGCCTGCTTGCAAGGCAGGTGCTTATGCAGCTGAGCTAAATCTCCAGGCCCAGGTTTGAACTTTTGATCCTTCTACCTCAGCCTTTCAATATGCTGGGCTGCAGGCAGCATGCAGGAATGTAGCATCATGCCAGGCAGGTCACAAAGAAATTCTACACAAAGTTCAGAGAATCAATACCAGAAAAGTTTATGTCCATCAAAATGCAAATAAATTGGGAAAAAGTTTTTTAAAAGATACCAATTTTTAAATTCAAAAACTTCAAAAAGAATTCCTAAATAATTACTGTAGAGATTACAAGATATGTAAAATGGAATTTAAAAAAAGCTTCCACATAAAAAAGTTTGGAGAATGCAGCTAAAGCTCTATTCAGAGGGACATTTATAGCATTCACCACTTTTATTCCATAAAAGGGACTTTGATGCATGCTTATATCAGGTAATCTGAGGAACTCTCTTGAAGATAACAATATGCAATATAACAACCATTGTTAAATTTCTATCATCTTGTCTTGAAATCCTGTATCACTGTTGTTTCGTTTTTTGTCGTTGTTGCTATATGTCTCTTTTTTTCTGTGTTTTGTTTTCTCTTTAAAATAAAAAAATAGAAAGGAAGAGTGAAATAGATGGGTTAAGTGTTCTCAATCATGAAGCTAGAAAAAAGCAAAGCTGTTCTATGAGAAATTCAAGAAACAAATAAATATTAAAGATATAATCAGAAATCTATATAATAGGGTACAGAGTCCTTTTCTGGTACTATGACAGACCTAAATATTCACCTTATACTTTACTAAAAATTCTGGATATAATAGTTTTACTTTTTTTTGTACTGGGTTCCAACCAATGACCTTGTGCTGGCCAGGCACGCATTTATAGCACTGAGCTAAATCCCCAGCCCTACTTTGTCTGTTTGAGACAAGGTCTTGCTGTGCAGTTCAAGCTGGCCTTGAACTCACTTTGTAGCCTAGGCTGACCTCAGCCTCACAGCAATCCCCCTGCCTCAGTCTCCTGAGTGCTGGGATTACAGGTAAGGACATAATAGTTTTAAATCCACTAAAGTTATTGAATATTTAACAAAATAAAAATGAAGTTAATTAAAATCTAAGTGAAGGAAAGAATCTAGATAAAGTGCTCAAGCTACATTTGAAGAGAGTTTGATTTGTTTTGATTACCTCTCTTCTCTCTCTCCCTGTTTTTTTCTCTTCCTCTTCCTCTTTCCCTTTCAATTTCTATTTCTCTCTCTCTCTCAATAGGATCTCACTATGCAGTTGATGTAGCCTAAGCTGGATTTGAACACAGTGCAGATACTTCTGCCTCAGCCTCCGAAGTGTTAGGATTACAGGCCTGTGCCACCCCACCTGCTGAGTAGCTCTTTCAAACCTAAATTCACTTGTAACCTCTCTGGATCTATAGCCTGGCCTGGTTACTGTGCTGTGGTTCTTCTTAGCAACATCTGTCACATAGTAGGTGCTGAACAAAAACATATTGAAAGACAGTAGGAATAAATGAACAGTGTAAGTAGTGGTGGGAGGCCATTGGATCACTGGGGTAAGACGTAGGAGGAAGGATGTGTCTTGGGTTTGACACATATCACAGAATTTCTTACCGTGCCAGTAGATTCTCATCATGTTTTGTGGTTACTTTTCGGTAACTCCCACTTGAGTGACCAACTAAAGAGTTGCAGGGCAAGGTAGGAGGCTTCGCACAGAACCAGAGCTCACCAGAAACTGCATCCCTGTACTGGCAGGTAGCCCTTTTAGTGCCAGTTGACTGAGGGTCAACATTGCAAATCACAGTTTCTTCAGGCCCTTGTGTTCCCCGGAAATATCCCCTAAAATTAACAGTGGCCTGTTTCTCTGTCCAGATTCTGCGCAGAACCCCAACTGCCTCACTGGAGTGGATCAGTCGCACTTGCACCTGGGCCTTCCCAGCCCAAAGCAAGGGGAAGGACAAAAGGTATGTGCCATTCTCCAGATCCTGGACATCCCCGGGAACCCCTGCTTTTAATTCTGAGCCCAGCAGCTGTGCTCTAAAAAGATCTCCACCATGGGTCTTGGGCTTGCCCCGGTGGTCCCTGGCCACGAGGACAGCCTCCAAGTAGTCTCCCAAGGTATAGCTGGCCTGGGCAGGACCCCTCAGGTAATAAGTAGAGGTCTTGGGACTGGTGGAGGCCAAAAGATCCCCCTGATCTCCTGGGGTTGGAGGCCAGTACAGAAGGTAGGTCAAGTTGGTGAGTGCCTGAGGGAGAGAATCCAAGAGGAAGGGAGATTCCGTGGAGTTGGAAGCAAGTTTAGAGGCTGGCTGGGGTCCTGGGATCCGGTAGGTGATACTGTCAGGCCAGAACATCTTGAGATAGAGTATCTGTGGGTAGAGGAAGAGGGATTTGTCACAGGATTGTTTCTCTGGTTTCTTTTCCTGGAAGCTAATAACCAGTGCTAGTCCCCTCTGCCAGCTGGGACTCAGGAGTCCTTTCTGCCTACATCACGCTGTCTGTCTCTCGTAAGCCTGGCACCTGAGTGACTGGCACCTTTCTGTGAAAGGTGCATCTCACAGTTGGAGAGAAGTTGGGCCTCCGGTTCAGCCCTACTGCTTCCTTCCCTGACCTTTTTACTCCGTCTACTAGCACCCTTCAGCACCCACTGAGATACACACAGGCTCGGTGCCCCTTTCACATTTCTGCTGCCCTTCTTCCTCAGGAATCTTTCTTCCCCTCAGAACCTGGCACTCTAATGTCCCCTTTGCACCCAGTGGCTCCTCCACAACCCTCCTGCACTGTTTCTAGTGTGGGTTTCTAATTGACATCTGCGGGTACGGAAACTTTACTTGGTGCTTTTGAGAATTTACAAGAGTGGTGTGGGACTATTTTTCAGTGAGATCTCTTTCTTATTCGGGTCTTCAGTAAAAGAGAGGTGCAGCCTCTTAAACCATTATAAAAACAGAAAACTAGAAAAACACAGAACCGGGTGGGCAAGACAAAGGATGGAGACAGCTGATTCTTCTCTAAGAAGAGACACAGCTGGGTCAAACCCCAGAGCCTTGTCCAGGCCCCAGATATCTTGAATGCCATATTCCTAGAAACACACCATGCTAAGAAGTGAAAAGATCCAAAGGAGAATTACAGTGCAGAGAAGCCATGTTTTGTGTGATGTAATGGTGGTGACTGAAGGGAATGCAGATCCTCACATCCATCAATATCCCTTTTATTCAAGCAAGTGTGATTCATTTGAAAAATGCCATCCAATAATATGTCTCAAATCGGGAACCTGCCAATGCCTATCAAGTTCATACTATAATTAAGCATATGAGCATCAGAGAGATCAATCTGTACTTAGAAGAATTAGTACAGCCATGTCTGTGTCATGAGGAACAGGGGTAGCAAACCCTTCTTCTTTCGTTGTCTCCTAAATTGGCTATTTATTTACAGATAGGTCTCATCTGTTAAATTGTGGACTCTTAGAGGTGATACTGCTTTTTCTCCAGATCTAGCACAATGAGCTGCAGGGAAACCTTAGTAGAAGGCTTTAGGATAAGAATGTGGATCCCAGTTAAAAGCCAAGATACAGAATGTAAAATCAACATTAGAACCCATAACTTTTCTATACACAAATAAAGAGCTAGGTGAAAAAAAATCAGGAAAAAATTTAGTTCCAAATAAATTTTAGAATTGTTTTTCTAATTGTGAGATACACTATTGAAATTTTGATTAATAGTGCATTAAATCTATGCAACAAATTTAGAGTTATGGCCATTTTCACTCTATTAATTCTTCCTACCCAAGAACAAGGGATATCTTTCTTTCTTTTTTTTTTATTATTTAAAGAAAAGGAAACGAAAAAAAATACATGGAGATAAAAATAAAAACAAAAGGTTAGAAATAATACAAAATTACAGATAAACAAAAGGTAAGAAATTGCCGGTTGATAAGTTACAAGTTGTCATCTTCGAAATAGCTGTTCAGGTTGTAGAATTAAAGTATTTAGAATGACATTCAAAAAAGTGACCCTACAGACCATTCTGCTCTATGATTGAACAAAAGCTCCGTAATATGATTATCAGTCCTACACATTTGTTTTACATCTCAAAGAGGGTAAGATTAACCATATCAAAACAGAACAGAACATTTAAAAAAATAAAAATAAAAAACAATTTAAAAGAATACAGGTTTCAAAGCAAGTCCACTGGAGATCTTCATTATCTGTCTCTAGCTTCTTACAAATAGTTGTCCCTATCTTCACCCACTTTATATACTTATTGCATATTATAGAACTAATCAAATCATTACAGGATGATGAAGTCTTTTTAGGTCCTCAAGTTCCAAATTAGGGAAGACAATAGCAACTACCATCGCATCTCTCATTCTCTTTGTGATAGCCGTCCCCATCTCTGCGTATGCTGAAGTTGAACTGAAGAAACCAGACTAATGTCATTCTATTCAGCAAACAATAGATTGCTAGAATTTATATTATAATGCTACAAAATAAGCCTCGGGTTTCTCAGCGCCTCTTCCTCAGAGTATTTGTTCCTTACATCTTGTATTATATAATCTGTTCCCGTACATAATTTAAGAAAAAAGAAACCCATGTGTGAATTTCTACCTATATATCTATCCTCTCTGTATTATAGGGAAAACCAAGTCATAACTAGACAGCAAAACAATTTCCTAGAAAAACATGCAATGGATAAGACACATAAAACTGCAATATACATGATCTTCTGGAGCTACTATGTTTTCTCTTGTTATTTTCAATAGATTTGTCCACAACACTGGCTTATTATAGTTAAACATACTATCACCTATTTTTATAAAAACTTATCTTTGACTGCATTGTAGTATTTGAGAGCTGTTACTGATTCATACCAGTATGGATATCCTTTACATCTTGTCATGCTCAGAGTAGTTTCCTCTACTTTTAGGGTTGATTCTAACAAGCATACCAATTTCAAATAGAATCATTCAAGGCCAACCAATAGTCTTATGATTCAGATACAGTTAAGATCAGTCATAGTAAGACAATGTAAGTAATACAGGATTTCAGCCTAAGTCAATAGGAAAGTAAGGATAGTTACCATGGTATAACCTGCTATTTTTGGTTCTAGAGGTCTGTGTCTTCAAATCTGACATGAGTGGACAGACCAGAACAAATTAAATTCAATCTAAATATGGCACTAGGACTACTGTGTCTTTTAAATCATTATACAGCATTAGCAATGACCTCTGCTTTTTTTTTAAATATAGTTTCAGAGCTGTCTATACTAAAGACTAGCTTACCGTCTCTGCCTCATGTCTGCTACTCCACTTTTCTGCTATAATTTGTCCACCTTATTCCCTCATTCTATTGTCTGCCCCGTTCACTGAGGCCTCTCTGCCATTGTAGCTGGAATCCTGATATCTCTTCCTCTCTTTCTCTGTAATGTCCTTCAGCGCTCTCTGTAGGGTTGGATTGGTGGCCACGAACTCCCATAGTTCCTCCTTGTCTTGAAAGTATCTTATTTCTTCATTAATTTTTAGAGAGAGTTTTGACGGATATATGAACTTTGGTTGCATATTTTTTTCCTTCAGGACTTGGAATATTTCTCTCCACTCCCTTCTTGACTTAAGAGTTTGTGTTGATAAGTCTGCTGTTATTTTGATAGATTTTCCGTTATAGGTAACCTGCATCTTTTCTCTGGCTGCTTTTAATATTCTGTTTTTTTGGTGGATTTCTGGGATCTCGATTATTATATGTCTAGGCATAGATCTGTTTTGGTTGTAGGTAGCTGGCGTTCTGTATGCTTCTTTTATCTGGATATCATTTCTTTTTGCTATACATGGGAAATTTTGCTTTAATATCTCTGTGAATATTTTTTGTATTTCATTTTTGGATGTTCCTGCTTCCTCACTCACATTCTTTATTCTTAGGTTATGTATCTTTTTGTCATCTTCCAGTTTTAGAATTGCTTCTTTCTGGTTCCTTGTTATTTTTAAGAGGCTTTTTCTTTCACGTTCATATGCCCTAAATCTCTCTTCAAGTTTCAGAAGGCTGTCTTTAGTTTCTGTCAAGGCATTTTGCCAATATTCAATGGAATTTTTAGTTTCCTGATATTCTCTTTGGATCTGTTTCATGTATTCTAAGTTATGCTTAAATTCTTCTTCAGATGCTTCTCTTTCTTTTCTGATTTCCTCATTTCTTCCATCTGTGTTCTCTTGGGCTGGGCTTGTCATTTCTTTAATTAATCTCTTTATATCTTGCCTTACTTGGATCAGGAGTACATCTTTAAATTCCTCTATGAGATCATGTAGGTACTTTTTAATTTCGGCTGATGCTGTGTCGAGTAGAGGATGATTACTGTGCTTGTTGTCTTCAGTGTTTAGTTCTCCTGGGCTTGTTTTCTCCTGTTGAGAAGCTGAAGATTTTTTTTAATTTTTATCTCTTGTCATGTTTCTGGTTTCTTTCAGACTGTCCTGGAGTTCTCTGGCCCTCTCCGAATTGCTTAGGGCCTTTCAGAAGCGTGCTGGCTTGAGTTTTTGCTGTCCTCCCCAATTTACTGTTATCTGGGGTAGGCTGGGATGCAGGGGCGGTACAGGATAGTCTCTAGCCTCTGTGTCAGTTAGTTCATAAATTAGGCTGTACTTTCTGGTTGTCACTGAGTTGTGGCTATTTTGTATCCGCTTATTGGGCCCCAAGCAGAGGCTTGGTTTAGCCCCAGTAGCTCCTGCCAATTCTCTTTGTACCAGAAGCAGCTGAGTAATGTCACTATGGCACAGGTTTCTGCCCAAATCCCAGCCGTTCTCTTCCAAACCTCTCTGTGACAGGAGCACCAGAATAGCAGATCTGCCCAAAACTAAGATGTCTCCCACTAAGTTCTCTGTGTGGAGCTGAAGCCAGCAAGTAATCAGGCTCTGCCAGGATTCAAGATGTCTTCCACCAGCCCTTCCTACAGGGGGACCTGGTGATATCACCACGCTGCAGTTTCTGCCGCCAGGCTAATATGTCTACACCAGACTCTGTGTTATTGATTTCCCCGTGGTGGTGGGCCAGCTGTTCTCTGGCCAACCCCAGCAGCCGCGGGGTTCCCGATACTCACCAGAGTCCGGTGCAAGTCCTCATTCCGGGACCACCGCACACCAAGCTGCCCACTTTTCCCGCACTCCCAGGACAGCGTGGGGCGGTGCACAGCGTGAGCTCCCGGCACAGGGCTGACCGGTCAGATATCTGTGCACCGTTTAAATTTGAAACGCGCGAGCTTTGTACATCTGCTCTGGTGCAGAGGTGCAGACTTGGCTGCTACTTGGAGTCCCGGCCCGGGTCTCAGTTTCCCGCAGTCCCCAAATGCAACTCAGCTTTTCCTGCTGGGTCCACAGGTCAGTGTGTTGATTTAAA